AAAAAAAAAAAGAAAAGAAAGGGATAAAAGGGTCAACCATTTTATTTCCAGCTTACTTATCCACTTTTCTGTTTTGTCCAAGACACGGCATTTAGATATCCTCTTCCCAAAGCCATGTTTAAGCAGTAAGGGTTAAAAGCAAGACAACCCATAAGCTAACCCCCCCCAGCACACTTCTCAACAGCAACACTTGAGGAATAAGTAACAAAAACAAGTGATAATTCTGCCCTTTTTTTTTCCCCTGGAGAAATTCCATCCAGAAACAAGCAAAGAGCTGCAGTGTGTGAGACTCAGGTGGGAGGAGTTATGTGTAGGAGTGCTTTAAAGAAAGGAAAGGAGACTCCCCAGCCAGGAGCAGACCAAGTGCTGGCTGTGCATCAGCAAGAGAGAAAGGAACCCAGGGGTCATAGGATAAGCATGGCTCGCCACTTCTGGGGAAGGAAGGGAAAGACTCTGTCCAAAAGCAATGGCATAGAAAATACACATTAAACAGATCCCCCTCCACCCTGCACTGGCCCAGAGCAAGGCCTGGCTTATCCTCCATGTCCTTGGCACGTTCAAGGGACACCTGAATGGGACACTGCCCCTGGTGAGGAGGGCTGGTGGGGAGCACAGAGTGTGTCCGGGTACCTTCTCTCCCTTGACCTGGAATTGTGGATCCCACTGCAAGTCTGTATTTAACCGTGTGCAGGAACACTCCTGGAGGCTCTAAGAGGATGTTGACGGCTCTATGTCCCCCCCTGCCCAAGATTTGGTTCCACAAGGGCTGCTAACCCGTTGGAAACCAGGTAGGATTTTAAGGGAGGTTCCAAAGGTTTGGAGCAAGTACTGCAGGGACAGCGGTGCTGGGAATGCTCCTGCCCCCGGGCACCCTCAGCTGCTGTGCTCAACTGGAAGGGTGGCTGTGAAAAACAGGCCAGCACAGGACAACAAACCTGAGCCACGGCCAGGTCAGACAACAAAAACAGCAACTAAAACACATTATCATGCAAATGTCATGGCATGCAGGGTCAGTTACACTGGGTTATCTACACACACCCCCCTCCCTCTCCCCAGCAGCTACTGCTGGAACACATCAGCTACTCCAGGAATATGGGCCAGGCTAAACTCCAGGTTTAGCCACGCCATGGGCTGGCTGTGACATTCCTACAGCAGCGATTTCCCGGGGCTGGTTTCTGCAGGTCCAGGGGCTCCCTCAGCACTGAGGACACCTGAGCTGGTCAGCCCTGCTCACCCAAGCTGCTGACACCCAGCCCTGACTCTTGGTTAAACTGGGGGCCAAAACTGATTTACAGCTGATGGTTTTGGTGACAAAAACACATGGGTATCATTACCTTGTCCCTCCACCCGCCCCTGAACTTCCAGTTGCATACAGTCCTGTACCCATCCCTCTTCCTTCTTGTTCCCCCTATGTTATTAGATGAGTTAATAGTTATTCATGTTAAAAAATGAAAAAAGAAAACCAAAAAAGAAAAAGAAAACAGATGGCAGAGACACATTACTGCAAAAGCAGGTGAATGCAGGAACATCCTTGGCTCGACAGGCTTTATGTGAAGCTTGCACTGCAAGTTAAAAAAAGAACAAAAAACAAAAAAGTTAGCACTAATTGAACTCAAAATGAAAAAAAAAAAAATAAAAGAAAGCCAGGAGAGCCGACACCAGCAACTCGCTCCGGTGGGTGGGCATGCACACGGATTATGGAATTACAAAGGAACTCAACCTCAAGGCCAGGCTCTACTCCAGCCTATGACAAGCAAACGTAGAAAGAAAAACCAAGGGGGCAGAGCTACTGACCAACCAACCATGTAAGCTGGGCCAGAGCAGCCACGGTGGACTGAAAACTTACATAGAAAGCAACTTGAAAAAACAACCCCAAGTCTTACATTTGGTTTTCAGAAATAGGCTGAAATAAACCGAAACAGCCCCCAAACAGATGGTCCCAGCTCCTGGGGGCTGAGGATGAGCAGTAACACAGTGGTACATGCTGAGGCATGTGGCCATCTCCCAAACAGCAGGCAAGCACCAGAAGGCTGTTGGCTGCTCTGATCTGGGCTATTGCCAGGAACTGCCTCCAGGCTGTATGGGTTTGAAGCACAGCCCCATCCCAAAATTACAGCAGGGGCTCGGTGAGTATGCTCAGCCTCACATTCAGGGGATCACTCAAGTACACCTCTCCAGTCACCCCTGAAGTGTCTGGGGTATGCAGATGTGCTGTCCCCAGAACAGCACACTGCTGCCATCAGGCCAGGGTCCCAACAATTCCAGATTAAAAATGAGTACAAGCTAGGGAATTCCTGGAGGAATGGCCTGGAAATCAGGAAGGCCAAGCTCTCCCTCCGGGAGTCAGGCCAGCAGCAGATTTCATCCTGAGCCTTCCCTCCAGCATGCACAGCACAGTGGAAAGTCTCTGTTCTCCAAGTTGGAGAAATCCGATCCCACCTTGAGGAAAAAAAGCACTCCTGTGATTTACTTTCTGGGGAGGCTACAAGCGTCAGGCATGGCAAGGATTTCCTCTGGCAACTGCACAAGAAGCACCACAGGCCATGTCAGCAGAGAGAGAGAGAGAGAGGATGGAAGCCTTTAACCACACAACCTGCAGCTGCTCATTAGAGTGCAAGGAGAAACTCAAAGCCTTTGGAAACCCAAGGTGTGCTACAGGGCAGAAGCGTCAGCACTTCCCTTGAAAGCCTCCGTTAGTAACTGCAACACTAAAGAACAATGGCAACAGGTACAGCACCTGGTGTGGAGCACAAAGGACACACTAAAACATGGGGATGTTCCTCAGGGCGGGGTGTCTGTGAATGCATCAGCAAAGCAGAACCTGCGTTGGTCACAGTTGCTGGAAACATCCCTGCCTCACCCACGACACTGTGCACGTGTCAGCCAACCTCCCAGGAGCAAAGAGCAGCTACACAAAGAGACAGAACTCCCCAACCATCCTGCACTGCACTGGTCTCGGATCTAAGATGAAAAATCTGACTGCAGAGTTCTTAAAAACATTAAGCTACCAACTCTGTACAGAGATAAGAAAGAGGGCCTTCAAAACTTCCTATTCTTTCTAGAAAACACATCACCATGTCTGGATTCTCAGGTGAGAGAAGACAGGGGTTTCAGCCTATCCTGCTTACAGCCACAGCTGCAGGAGGGTGTTTCAGCACGCCTGGACCCCGCAGGTCCGTAAGGATTCCCAGCCAAGCAGAGCATGCAGCACACAGCACTCCTCGTATTCCAGCGGGTGCCCACGGCCAGGTTCTCAGCCAGCATCGAGCAGCAGGGCTCCATAGGAGCTACATCAATTGGCCTCAGCTGAGGAACCAGCCCCAGGCCCTCCCCACCTTCCCCGGGGCAGAAGCGACAACCGCTGGGCACCGACCCAGCAGCAGGGACAGGGGCCATGCAGCGAGGGTGAAGTGCCAAGCTGTACAAACACACCAGTCCAGCTGCAGGGCGAGTGCCCCTCCTGGGCTCGCGCTCTCCCACAGCTCACACCAGGCTTCAGCTCCCAGCTTAGCGAGGCAGACACAGGTGACTGTGCCACATCCCCACTGGCATTTGGTTCTTCCAGCATTAACTGGAAGGAACACCCCCCTGCTCTCTCGGCCAGTAAAAGCAGTGTGGAACTGTCATTTTTGTGTGTGGGTTAACCGAGTGTTTTCCAGGGAGATTTGCTGCACCCCCCCCTCGACAGCTTTCCCAGTGGCAGGTACCAACTAGCACCGTTAGCACAGATGGCCCAGGAAGGACTTGCATGAGCACCTTCTTACTAGGAATGGGCAAAGCCAACAGAGGGTACGGGGTTACACTCCTAGGATACGGATATAAAATAGTAAAAAACAGTGCCATGATCTTTCTAAAAGGTAAGGGTTTCTTAGCTTATTATGTCAACTCCATACAACCACAAATGCCATTTAACTGCAATTACGGTACCATAGTAGTTTGTTTTTTTTTAAAAAAAAAATAACCAAAGCTTCTTGTCTTTAAAGCAAGCTTCCAAGTAATCACTTTTGGCACTAGCATTTCCCATGTAAAAACAACATGGTGGTTTTGGTTTCTAAGCTACTTCTACTTACAACTACAACCTTAAGGAATGGGAACTGGAGACCACCGGTGAAAGAAAGGACAGGTAGTGACTCCCTTAATAATTTTGGCTCAGGCAGATAAATCTGAGTCCAGAACATCTCACAGCTGTTCCAGAAAATGCTGGAGAGATCACAAGTCAAACCTCCACCATCCGATTGCTCTCCCACACCAGTCAGACTTCAACTTAAAAATTTGAAGGTACTCTTCTAGAGAAAAATTAAGATCGTGTCCCTGGCCCACCCTTTAGAAAAAAATATTTTATTTGATCAGGCTGATAAAAGCCCTGTTTCCAGTCTGGTGATGGGAAAAAGCAAATACAGACATGCAGCAAGAAAGAAAAAAAACAACCTCCCAAAACTGTGACAAACCCTACAAAGGATGTGGGTGACATCCGCTTACTTTTTCTTGTCCTTGTCTTTCTTGGTTTGTTGAGAACCTGCCTGCTGAGCCTGTGACTGTAACAGCTGAGCTGCCGCCTTCTTCTTCTGGAAGTTGTTCAGCTCTTCCTCGAGTTCCTTCTTTTTGTCTTCCACTTTCTTCTTCTCTTCTTGGTGAGTCCTCTTTAGATGGTCAAACTTTTCGTGAAGCTGCCGGGACAGAGACAATGAGAACTGGATGGGAAGAGAGGCACGTTCCACCCCCATTCCTGTAAGGAAGGTAAGGATCCCTGCAGTGTTCCTGCTGGCACTGAGCCTCCCTGCATTAACAGCCAGTCACTGGCCTGTCCCTGCCTGACTTGTCCTGCAGTCAACACACACTTGCACACATGGAGGGTGGGAATTTCTGTTGCTGTAGGAACACAACAGGTCTCTGGACGCTTTCAAAATGCCCACATTCCATCCCCCACTGCTTTATACCGACTGGACTCCATCCTGCTTGTGCCAAGCAAGAAAACAGCCATTGAGGGTCATACTTTTCTCTGTACCACACGCTCCTCTGTGAGGCACGAGGAGCAGCTCCCTCCCCTAGCAGGACATGTTCTGGAAAAGCCCCAGCCTAAACCCTCACAGGGTCCCCCGAGTTACAACAGACTCACATCTTTCTCCGCTTCCTTCAGCTCTGCTTCCTTCTCCTTCACTCGCATGACAAACATCTGCCTCATTTCATCCTCCTTCTTCTGGAGTTCGCCCAGGAATTCATTCCTCTTTGCTTCATACGTCTCTTGGAGACTGTTGGAAACACACAGAACCCCGTCAGAGCCGTGCTTCACGCACAGCCACGAGCTCCCAGCCTTGGGTGACCTTACACTTGGGATGTCTCGTCACAGAATATCATCAGAGGTCCCCGAGTACCACAGAGGCACGATCCCCTCCACCGAACCCCGCCCCAGCTCGCTAGGTGGCAGCAGTGGGAGACAAATGGGAAAGGAACCGCCGAGCTCCGTGACCAGGATCCTGCACATCACTGAGCAGGCAGGATGACCGTCCTCCAAAAGCAGCAGCCACCATGTAAGCGCCTACACCAACCCCCGATGCCCACAGGGCTTGTGATCCGCCTGAGTCACAACCCCTCCCTTCTCCCACTGTTGGTGCCGAGTCTCGTCATTCCAAGTGCAGGATTTGTGGAGCAGGCACAGTGTGAAATCTGGCTTCGTGTAGTTCTTTAATCTCGATGCTGACACACAGCAAAACTCATTTTCACTACTCACTGCTAATGGATTTGGATCACGGGCTAGATTATATAAAGCCACCTCGGGAGACCTCTCTTTCTCCTTTGGCCTTTCTGAACAAGCATCAGCCCCCTCCTCCAAATAACCACATAACTGGATTCCCTCCTTCCTTCATTCCTCCTCTACTCCTTGGCATTCCTTTATTTCCCCAGCACTGAGATAGGCAGCACAGATTCGGAACATAAAATATGCTGTCCATGCACCTTTGAGATTTTCAGAGCCTGTCAGGAACTCTGGACACCAAATTCCTCTTTATTTTATTCCTTAAATGGATTTGGATAGCCCAGCTGTAACGATAGTGTGGGAATGATAACTATTTCCCCCAAGAGGCTTTTCTGAAAATGCACTTTTTAAATGAAAACTCCACTGATAACATACAGACACACTGTATCCATGTGCCCAGGGAACACATTAACCACTGGGCCAGGGGAACATCCTAATTCCAATGAAGTCAAGCTTTTGTCTTTCCTGGCAGTGTTGGGTTTTTTTGGTGGCTTTTTGTTGCTTTTCTCTGGGGGGTGGGATATTGAACTGGGGAACAGAACTTGACAGATTATCCCAAGTGTTTAATTCTGCTAATTAACAGGCACTTCAGTTGCCTCCTAAAATACTCTCCAGACAGGATGCCCAGAGCTCTTCTGGCAGAGCACTGGCCGCCCTGGAGGAATCACACCATTCCAGATGACCACAGCAGCTTCCCACACATGGAAGCAAAAATACTGATTCTAAAAATTACAAAAATCCTTTCATGGGAGAGAAGGGCAAGAGCCATCTTTGGTTCTTCACTAAATCCAGAACCAGATCTCTCACAGCAGCAGGAGATCTGGAGACTTGAATCAAAACCTCCCTAGAATTCAGTCTTGGATTTAGTACTCTGATTGTGGACACAAATGTAAATTCCTAAGCCCTTCCGAAGGATCTGGCTAGAGTCTGGGAAAACCCAGAGGGCAGGTGAGCCTCTGCTGCTCAGTGAGCACAAACTGAATCTGCAATTAGTGACACGCTGTACTAGGGAGCAGCAGAGCCTTACAGACCAAACCAGAAAGCTCTGCACACTGTTCATCCCATCCTGTATTGCAAACGTCCCTTGCAAAGCTCATTCCCAAAAACACAATGCCGGGTGATGGACAAGCAGGAAAAGGCTGCCAGGAGCCAGGGGTGCAGGGGCTTCCTGTTAAATTGTCCCAGGTTCAAAGCTTCATTCTCTGCTGCAGTGACTCCGAGTTCAGAGGAGCCAAGTTCTCAGAGAAACTGGCCGGGCAACTCCCAGGCTGCATGTGAAAAAAACAATTACAGCCCCAAGGAATAACAGTCCAAACCAACTGGGATCCCTGCAGCTTCTCACAGACAAAGATGACAAGGGAATTAGCTTTTTAAGTACACAAACATATGAGCCCAGATTACAAGAGTAACTCGATTCCCCAGCACACCCACACACACGGAGGGATGCCCTGGCAAATAATACTCTTTGAAAAAAGATGTGTTTTGAAAAGGTTAACCAGAGCAGCAGAGAAACCAGCCCACAGCAGAAGGGTCTCTGTGCAGAGGACCCCATTTCATGGAGCAGATTGCCTGTGGGGATCCTGGTGCTGCTCCCTCCTCACCTCCTGCAGCTGGGCCAAGCAGGGGGGGTTCTGCCAGCAAGGCAGGGGTCTCAACCATCACCAATCCCCCTCTTCCACACCTCACACAAGCGCCTACACAGCACCAATGGCTTGCTGGGCTCTTCTGCCCTGCTGCCCCTGAGATTTTCCAAAGGCTCCCTGCTCCTGGCTGATGCAAGCTGGCCAAGGAGCAGCAGCCCCTGTGGCTCCCCGGGCCCCAGTGCAGGGAAAGGAATCCTTTTGATCCCTGAGCTCAGAGAGAACATCTTCCTCATATCAGATATACATCAGCCTCGGCCAAACAGCTTGGGATCATGGGGTTTGTTTGTTTATTGGAGGGAAAAGGCACCCAGAGGGAACTGCTCTGAACTAGCACGTACCAGATGGAGAAATTCTGTACATTTTCATTTCCTTTCTACTTATAGCTTGGTCAAAAAGAGGCCTCGTGTACAGGAAGCAATGGAAATTCTTCAGATTCCTCAAAAGGAAGGGCTGAGCCCATCTTAAGCCCTTGCTCTCCAGAAAGGAAATCCAATAAAGCTTCACACTTGGGCTTAGTAACAGAACTGGGCTTGACTGATTCCAGCAGAGTGTCTGTGCTACAGAAGAAATGCAGCTGCATCAACTCAGCCTGTCAAATAAAACCCCAAACTAGTGCCAATCTCTGACACTCACGGGTGTTATGGGGGTAAAACCCCCCACTGATGCACTTGAATTCTGACTGGGGTAGAGAGGAGCGTGGGATGCTGCTAAGGCAGAGGGTGCAATTATTGGGGAAAAGTTGGGGAGGAATGGGAAACAGGAAATGAGAGGAGAAAACAAACACTCCCTCCCGAATTCCCACACAGCTGTTGTCCCTGGTTGATGGCTTGGGCTTCAGACCAATAAAGCTGTCTGACAGAATAAACTATGTGTGTAGTAACCAGCCAAACCTCAAGCATGAGACCACGGCTCCCTCTTCACAGCTCACCTTGGAGCAGCTGTGAAGAGCTGTCGGAGGGTCAGAGAGCGCTGATCCCAGGATCTCCCCCCCGGTGAGCCGCTACACCTCAACGCACGAGTCACCCTCCCGCGTTTTCCCTGACACGGATGCCCTTTCCCTGCCCGGGAAGTGCCCAGCCCTGAGCTGCAGCACAGCAGGTGGCTGCAAAGCACAGCAGTGTCGTACAGGGCCCTACCTGAAAGGCTTGCTGTCCGGATCCGTGTCCTTGAACCCCATCTCCTCCAGCTTGCAGCGCCGGTACAGCTCGTAGTGCCGGGTGTGCGTCTGCTCTCTCAGGTCCTCCATGTTCACTCGGATCAGCATCTCCCGCAGCTTCACGAAGTCACAGTGATTTTCATTTTCAACTGCGAAGACAACAGAGCATCCACAGAGATGTTACACCCAGGGGCTGGGTCCCCCCTTTCCCTGCATCTGGGCCCCAGTTCAGCAAGCCCCGAGTTCTCCAGGCACACAGGCAAAACTCCAGGTCAGCCTGCACCAAAATGCCTTGATGGCCTGGGGGTGAAACTACCCCACGCCAACACGGGCATGAGTTCAAGGCCTTCCCCTGGATTTGAAAAATCTCCCTGCTGCCCATCTGTCACAGAGCTCCCGGCCCTCTGTGCATTTTTGCACCAGCAAGGTGATGATCCACTTGCACGCAAGATTTCACTTCCCACTCAGACCCACTCTAAATCCCAGCACTCACAGGGGCCCAAGCAGGCAATGCCTAAACTAAATCTTTTAAACCATCCAGGTCCCAGTTTCCTGGGAACAGCAAGAACCCAGCAGGATGTGTTGAGTCCAAGACTTCCCAAACATATCAACTTCTTTCCTAACTGTTTTTCCCAGTACTATCCTCTGGTGTATACAGCTGAAGACAGTAAGTCTGAAGCTGCTTCAGGGTCAGCCTGTATTATTGAGAATTTGGAGAGTATTGCAGAATTGCCCTGTGAATGTTCCCCTGCAGCTCCCTGGGCCATTATCCAATGGGATATACAGCTGAAGCCACAAGCAGACTGTCACCATCTCAATCCTGTACTTCTCAGTGCTGGTTGGTAAGTGAGGATCAGCCCTATCTATCTTTGGCAGCTTCAGTACAGCCTGGGTTGCAAACAGTGCCCTGGTCAAACTCTGCTCTCCTGCAGGAAAGAGCTTTTGGCTCCACGTCCAGATCTGTGCTTTCTCAAGCCAGGTTTTGACAAGGACCATCCAGAGATCAGCGTGCCTTTGATCGGAACGGGACAGGATGACAAGGCCTTTTCTGTGCCTTTGGTAACATACCCTGCACGACACCCCAGGGGTACTGCCTGGCTTTTGCCATCTTGTTGCCAATCTTCACTTCTTCGGTGCTGCCAACAACAGCAAAAGGAAGGTGGACCTATGAAAGGAAAGGGACAATGAGGTTGGGGATTTCCTTCGCTGCCTTGCCAGGGATTGTTTCTCAAGAAAGCTGTTTACTGTGGCAGCTCTGCTAGATCTAAGTTGCTTCAACGCCTTTGCAATTCATCTGGTGTTTTAGGGAGAGCAACAGGACAATCTGGATGAGAAACCTGATCAGACTTAAAGCCCAAAATTCTGATGTCCTAAAAATACTAGAGACATACATGTTTTCCATATAATTACAGAGCATGACTATCTTAAGCCCAGAACAAGTCTCACAAACTGGAAGTGAATTTGAACACTGAGGAGACACAACTGTGAAACAATTAAAAAAAGAAAATAAAGTACATTCTCCCAAGGAAAATTTCAGAGGGGTTCTGCTGCTACAAAGAACTGCTAATGCTTCCTCTTAAAAAGAGCAAAGCTGTGAGCAAGGGGAAGAGCAGAGTCAACCCAGCCCTGGGCTGACACGTCTGAGTCATGGAGCTCTGCTCCGTCCCAGTCTCCCCATGGGTGTGGTGGCGACAATCTGGGATCTACTCCCAGAAATGTGGCTGCTGCCAGCAGGGAGCTGGCCAGCCCAGCCCCATGGAGCTCTCCCTGCCTTAACAGCATCCAACAGGGCTGGGCACAAGCTCCAGGAGCTGTGTCAGCCAAGCCGTGGTCACAGGCTGGGTGGGTGGGAAAGATGGCAGGGCAGAGGAGATGGGATTAACTGGCAAAGGAGTTTCCCAACAGCCAGGCTGCACCAGAGGAAAGCAAAACACTGCACACAATGCACCCTGGTAGAGCCATGTCCCTTCTCTGTGCCAGCTTCTTCCTGCTCAGAACACAACACACACAGGGAAGACAGGCAACAGGCACCTTTGGAGAAGGTCTAATATCCAGCTGGATGGGATAATTGCCCATCTACAAGCAGTTGTGCAAGGAAACTCAGAAAAGCCTTCAAGTAGCAAGGAAATGGCTTAATCTGAGTGCACTTGCCTTAGGGCTGGCACATCCTCTTGGGTGTTATGTGCCCCTCTAAAACCACATAAAATGCCCAGATAATACTGCATGTCAGATAATGCCCAGATAATACTGCCAGCAACCTCAAGCTCAGGTTCTTCCCCTTGCAACCCAAGTTAGGACCATGGAAAACAGTGGTTTCACCCGTAAACTCCACTAAAATGTTTGATCTACCCTAGCCCTGCATGCCCTCAAATCCCACCCTCTGCTAGAGGAAGGGGAAGGAGGTGAAAGCCAAGCTGCTGATGGCCACCAGCCCTATGGAGAGCTGGAACATCACCGACGGTGCCCTGCTCTCTGCGGAAACTGAAACAAAGGCAGCAGTGAATCACCCCCCACTGAGCAACAAGTGGTCGTTTGGGACAGGAAACCCAAACCTCAGCTCCCTGCCCTGACTGTGCTGGGGCCCTGCCTCCCATCCTTTTCCTTTCCTGAGATGGGAACGCTGCAACTGGGGAAGGATATGAAAAACGCTCAGAGAGGACTCGTTTGTCAGACACTAAAGCAGATCAGGCCAGGTATCTTCAGCCCCAAAGCCCTTCTGGGCAGCCTGGTGTCTGTGCTTAGACTGCAGTTTTAAAGCCAAATAAAATACAACACGACCATCAAGGACAGGCCCCCGCAAAGGGGGAAGCCCCCAGGGAACCCCCAGGTGACATACGCTCATGGTGGCGTTGATCTCGGCCACCGTCTCTTCGTCCGTGGGGAACTGGTAGATCTGGACGCCGTTGCTGACCAGCTCACTCATGATTTTACTCTTGAACTTGTGCAGCTCGTTTTTTGCAATGGTGTCAGCCTTGGCGATGATGGGGATGATGTTCACCTGCAGGACAGAGACAGCACCTCCACATACAGCACTGCACAGGTTGTGTCACCGGCAGAGGACAGAGCGGGACATGCAGGGACAGCCCTACCACTGCCACCAGCCAGCACCCCCAGCAGATGACCTTTCTCGGGGCTGCTGCTGCCAGCATCACCTCAGACAGGATTTCCAGGCAGCAGTGATGATGGCCTTAAAAAGAAGTCAAATGCAATTTGGCAACATGCTATTTCCTGTCCTGTCGTATTCCCCTCCTCACCCGAATTGGCTGGACAGGAAATGCTGTCACAGATTATTACAAACTGTTCCAAAAAAGAAAAAAAAAGGAAATGGCCATCTAGGCACATCTCCTCGCACTGCAGCAGGCTGGATTACTGCAGGAGCCTCCCTGGGACAAGAGCCTGTCACAGGTGTTTGCTCGGGGGCTGCCATCAGGGACACTCGGGTGGGCAGCAGTGCTGCTGTCACCCCACAGGAGGTGGAAGCAGATGGTCCCTATCCAACCCCGTGACACACAGGACAGGGGCTGGCAGTAGCACAGCCACACTTCCCCCACCTGTGTGCCCTCACATGCCCCCAGACACGGCTGTACTGCAGGAGCAGGGCTCGCTCCTCCCTGCACAGCTCCGAGAAGAAAGATCAGTTACTGACACTCTTCCCTAGACAGGCTGTTGGCAAGGATAAGGACCCTGCCTTTTTTCCTTTCTCGTCCCTCCAGAGGGACAGTTTCTGCTTTTGATCATGCAGGATTTGCTTCTCCATGCAACAGCAGACAGAAATCATAGTGAGAATAACAGTGGTATTGACTTATGTAAAGGGATTTTAAGTACAGCACTTGAAAATCCTCTTCTATTACATCATTTGATTCTGTTTGGAGGATGGTCTGGAGATATTAAATCTCCCTGGGCCAAAAGACAGAACACAAATGCCAATTAGGGTAAATCTCCATGACCCTATTTTCAGTTGAATAGGGCAGGGAACCTTCTCCATCACCACATAAAACCCAATCGATAGGCCCCTCCAGGAAATAAAGAGCCACTGCCACCAGTGATCTGCAGAATCAGGATCCAACGAGCCAAAGGTGCATGGTGGACAGATTTAAATTGCTTAATCATGATGTAAAGAAGCACAGACAAAGCTTAGTTTAACTACTTAGGCTTTACATTTGTACCTCGGTTATTTTTCTCAGAAAAGAGGTGAAACCTTTAAACCGTGGTTTAAACCACGCCTTTGAGGGTAACTGAGAAGCAGATGCCAAGTAACATATTTATTCAGATCCCTGCTTATGAGATTACAGTTAGAACACCACTAACATGTGCCACAGAAGATCAAATCACTGTTTGTGTCTAGCTGGATGTGGTCAGAGCAAACAGACACAGCACTTCCATTTGGTTTTCACTGATTAGTAAGACGACCTGAATTGTCTTTATTGACTTTATAGCTTAGCTGGGGAGCACAGGGCCAAGCTCCCTACCCGAGGCAGGGCTGGGAGAGGGGAGGAGTCCAAACTCTTAATAAATCTCTGAGCATGTGAAGCAGAACAATGACCCACTGTAGCAGCTTGCAGGTACACTTTTCACACAGCCCCTCTGCAATTCTCCAGTGCTAAAAACACACATTATTTCCCGGTGGCAAGACAATAAAAGCACTAGTAGGGCCATGTGAGGGTCGTAACACAGGCAGCAAGTACCTTACTGTCCAGCTTCTTCATGGTGACCAGGTCCAGGGACTTGAGCGAGTGCCCGGTGGGCGCAATGAAGTAGAGGCAGGCGTGGATCCGGGTGTCGTGGTAGTTGAACAGGGACCGTTTGATCTTCAGCTCTTCTTGTAAGTAGGCTTCAAACTGGGCATCGATGTATTCTACTATGGGCTTGTAGCTGGAGGGAGGTGAGGCACAGAGAAATTGGGAATTGGCTACTGGGACGACACTGGGCACTGGTGGACACTCAGGTAGCCTCATGGGTGCTCTGGACCTTACAGGACAAGCTCAGCTTGTTAAGACCCTCCCCAGTTAAAGAGAAAAAACCTTGTGCATTGTAACATACCCTCTGGAAAGAACCAGTTTGGCATGAAAACAAATGTACAGCTTTGCATCCCACGCTACAAGTGATTTTCACTTTCTCCCAAAAAAGGGAGCTGTGCTTCTGGAAAAAAATAACTTTTCCATTTGTCCCCCCTCCACCAAGGGCAGCCTCACGGATACCACTACGTGAGTTTTTAACATGACTGCTGCTCTGATTTCTTGGCTTCTGGAAATTTTGTCTCTGACCATGGAAGCCCAAAAACCTCAGAGACATGTTGCAAAGAAAGCAGTAGGGCCTTATGCTGGGAGAAATACTAGAGAAGACAAACCAAAAGCACAGAGCAGCATCACTTCCTGGATCAGGAAACACCCCCAGGAACAGCGAGGGACCTACTGAGCCCCCAGTCACGCCCTCCCGACCTGCGAGCACATCCCTCCTCCTGCCAGTTTACCTGTCATCCTTGTTAATCTGATCTCCAAACCCCACGGTGTCCACAATGGTCAGCTTCAGGCGCACGTTGCTCTCCTGCAGCTCGTAACTCCGGGCTTTCAACCTCACGCCGGGCTCGTTGTGTGTCGCCGGTTCGCTCTCAAACTTGGTGTTGAACAGAGTGTCCATCAACGTGGACTTGCCGATGCCGGTTTCACCTGAGCAGACAAAGGCAACTTGGGATGGTCTGGCTGCTTTTCCTCGTCTTCTCGGGCACGTTCACCAGGTTAAGGAGTTATTCCACTTGGGTAGCAGTGGAATTAGGCTACATGCACATGGCTAAAGCAAGATAATCCCTGCAGGAACAGATGTCTTTGGAGACAGTCCCCACCCATCTTTACCAATTCCCCAGGACTGAACCAGGAACTTTCCTCACAGAAGCAAGCTGTAAATTCTCTTAACACTGTGTTTGATTCCCAAGGAGATACCCGATTTTATTTTGGTTTATTTTTTTAAAACGGTTTTGTTTCTGTTTCAAGAAGGTCACCCAAAACCCACAGCACAACTGAGGCAATAAAAATTTGAGACAGGGAAATACATAAGGTGTTTTTTAAAGAAAAGGAAAATAGCACACTGATCGAATACCAACTTTTTAAACTATTACAGGTTCACTAATCCCCAGTGCAATTAGTAACACGGATGAAAGCTTTAGCCCAAATCCCATTTCTAAGTCAGAAGTGTTTGTTTAGCAATTATACTCTCACACAGCTACTGCTACCCATGCTGTGAGCAGGGGTGGGCTGAGGCAGCTCATGTGAAAAGCTGAGTCCTGAACTGATGGCACAGTATCTTCATCTCTGGAGCTGAAGATTTTAGGGAGCTCCTCATGTGAACTGCTGCGTGCTGTGCTAGATGGCCTTTGCAGCCTTTCACATCCCAAATAAAAGTCTCACATCACAAGGCCAAAGTTCACCACGTCCTTTCTCAAGTCACCATTACAAAAAATAATTTGCTTCCAAAGTAAGATTTCTGTTCCTTGGATGACTACAGCGGGTTTGTGTGAAATTTTAACATGGGGTGAAAATTGGTGGATCGACACGTTTTACAGGCAAAAAAGAAGAGGTGGATCAAATTGCTAATGGAGACATATTAAGTCGTGCTAAGAAAGGAATATTTACTGCAAGAGAGAAAGGCAATTAATTTATGCCATTTTGATCAAAGAGCTGCCTGCTAATCAGGCTGTTCCCTGCTGAACTGCAATGGATTCATGCTGCTCCAGCAGTCACGTGAGGGCTGCGAGCTCGAGTGTGCACAAGTGCAACTGCTCTCCTATCTCCTCCTTTGACAGGCAGAGCTACAGAGAGGAGCCCAGTCTGTGTGCCAGACTTCTATTCACACAGCTCACAGAAACCCTCAATTCACTGTGCAAAATTCACAGTCAGAGGGCTGCAGGGTTTTTCCAGCTAATTAATGTAACTAATTAGAAGGGACAATACTCCCTTCTTGCAGGCTTAACTGAACAATGAACGGAGAGATGGTGTTCATAGCCTGCTCTGCCAAGCTAAGAGTGAAACCCAGCATTTGTGTCACTTTGCAGAACCACATTCTGGGTCCACTGACAAGTCCAAGCTAGTTTGGCTCCCAGCTCCCAGGGGCTGAGCAATGGATTTCCAAGTGTGTAGTATCCATGGAGTACCAAGACAGCACCTATCTCCCTATAGCAAAGAGGAGATGTTGCCTTCCTGTATTTCACCCTCTGAACAATTTGGGAAAGGTAACTCAGATATAAAACCAACCTGCAGCACCCAGGTTAAATACAGCAGAGGACAGGTGACAGGCTTTGTTCTCCAGTACCTCACTTGGAGACTAAAAATGGCATCGATTCCAATTGGAGAAACTAAGAATGTAACTATACAGGCAAAGCCTGGAAGGGAAGGAATGTCATTTGGTGAGAAACAGCCTCTGCACCCAACCCAGAGAAAGGGAGATTGAAGTTCACTTTCTTTTAAAAATACATTTAGCACCCAAGTTAGCTCAGTTTCCTTATGGGCAGCCTTTGGGGAAAACAGAACCACAGGATGATCAAAGGCGAAGATTTTAACAGCTAAAAATGTCCTCGTTTTGACTCAGGGGACAAGGTAGAGAAAAGGAAAAGAGGGGTGCTAGATTTCACCCTGGAGCAGCTCTGGGAAGAAAACTGTCACTTCCCTGGCACTGTGGTCCCCCGTGGCTCAGCTCATCCCTTTGCAGAGGGAGGAGGTGTGAGTCTGTGGAGGGGTGCAGCCCTGACTGCGCCGAGGGGCAGGATGACCTACCCACGCAGAGGATGTTGAAGCAGAAGCCCTGGGACGTTGACTTGTTGACCAGTTGATCAGGGAGGCTGTCGAAGCCCACGTGGCCGGAGAGGGACAGGTTCCTGAGGTCATCGTTCTGTAAGACCAAGAAGGAAAGCATTGAACAGGGTTGCAAACCCCCTGTCAGGGAAGAAGTCCTGTCAGAACTCTGTTAATGACACAGAGTTTTTGGCACACAGCATCTTTCTCTTAGGTTTCCCTCCCAAAGTACTCTCCTTTTACTTCTACCCAGCTCTCTGCCGTGGGGCTCAGGAGCTAAGATGTCCCTGACCCCAAGGCACGCAAACACCACCAGACTGTTTCTCCGTGCCTGTCACTAATAAACCATGATTCTGTACCAATCTGCAACACCCAAACGTTTTTTTCTGAGGCCTCAGCATCCCTTTGGCAGGGCCACAGCAGGACATAGCTCAGACAGCAACAGTGCCTCTAGAGCCACCTAAACGTCTCTCCAGCTTTTCTAGGCTTGGAGCAGAAGGGAACAAAGCGAGCGTGCTGCTCTGCTGTGCCTTGGTGTACAAATAACCCATCTGACCCAGGGTGACAAAGCAGGGCACTGATCCCAGTGTTTCCTCTGTGACCTGCAAAGCCCCCAGTGCTGCCTCTCCACGTCTTCAGCAGGAAAAGAAGCCAGGCCAAGGTGCCAGTCACCCCTCATGACCTGCTCTCCTCCCGGTTGCTCAGGGGGGCCTGAGCTGACAACATCCAACACCCCAAGGCTGTGGAGGGGAACAGGGCAGCACAGACCCTGCACAAGGGAGGTTTGAAACAGCTCCAAGATTATATTTAGGACCACAACAGCTGTACCATAATTCACAGAGAAGCTTGGAAAAAGAAGCCAGTCCAGTTAGGTCTTCCCTGGCAAATGGTGGTTGTGCCAATGTCCTGAGCACAGGTAAAACAAAAAATCCCCATCAACTTGGCAGACCTAGAGCAGCTCTGCTGTTATTTCACATATTTCTCCCAAAGTTTGCTTTGTCCTTAACTTAGAAAATACTAACCTTCCTCCAAACCCAAACACTTCCAGCACAGTCACTCCCCCAAGGCCATATTAAATTACAGTCGTGGGCAGCCTTAGCCTGGTTTAAAGATGCTGGAAGCAGCAGCTTCTTTTCCACAAAATCAGTGGGCTTTGGACCAGACATGGAAAAAGACACTCTTTGGGTGATAAAATAAGAATCAAAAGCAGAGAAGGACTTCCTACTCTCTGCACAATTGCTGAGCAGCTCCACTTCCCCCCTCAGAACATAAAGACCAGTCACCAAAAAAAACCAATTACATCTGGGCTGAATGTTGATGAAAACAGACTCAGACTCAAAGAAATACAATAATTCTCTGGGAAAGACAACATCAAGTGAAAATGTCTCTGTCTCTGCCATCACCAAACAGCAGAAAGGGGCTAGGGGTCCTTTTCTGCCACGCTGACAGACAGGGCCCAACACCTGTATTAGATACTTGAGCCTTCTCCTAGCACCTAAACCAGGTTTGTCTGAAGGCTTAACCCCAATCCACCAGCCTGTTCACCTCCACCCCTCTGTGGACTGACAGCTATTCCATCAGCACCACACCACAGAAGCTTAGTGTGGTTGAGAGACGCCACCTCCTTCACTCAGGCTGAGTGAACAGCACAGAAGAGACCACTGACCCACAACAGTGATTCTCCTGCAAAAGCCCCAGGCAATGGAAGGAGCCCCTGGCATTTGTTATGTGAATGGGTTAAATTAAATATTTTTAACATTAGTATTTTTAAAACACCAGTGGGCTTGGGTTTATGATGAAGTGAAGGGAGCTCAGAGCTGATCCCAGAAAGCAGTAAGCGCCCATGACTCACAAGCTTCACAGAAAGTGGTGGGTGTTGAACATCTTTCAGCACCAGTCTCTCTTTCCCTGATATATTTTGGGCAAGCAAGTACTGCCTCATCACCAGTTACTCAGCAGGAACAGGAGTTACACTCATCTCCTGCATCTGTGTCAGTTATTTTTTGCTGCAGACCTTCTCGGGTTTATTTCCCTCCCCTGCTTTTTTCCCTGCGAGCGGCAAACATCAACAGTGGAATAAACAAGAACTACCCCTGCACTTTGCAATGCCAAGTATTTTTCACAAGCTGTGCTCACAACGGGGAGCAGAAGCGCAGTCTGATATCTGCCCCAAACACCAGAAAGCTCATGAAAAGCTCCGAGGCCCGAGGCACAGCCAGAGATCAAACACAAAGCCAAGCCTCCACCTCCCTCAGCGTTCCCAGGATGCAGCACATCTCCCTGAGCGGAGCAGAGAGAGAAAATAGGTGCAGTTCTCCACAAGTATCACAGACAGGCATTTCGGAGAAGGCAAGGGAGCCAAAGGAACTAGGATTCTAAATCTTTCTCTGAGCCCACAAACAAAAGCATCGTGTAACCAAACAGTGAGTTCTGCAGCACAGAGATGGGCTTGGAAAGTACACACAGTTTTGAGGGAGCTGTAGAGGAATCCAAAGGAAGGATCCAAGGGCTGGATAACCTCTTACCACTGCAGCCAGGCCTCCACTCCTGCTTTTACCCCCTTCAAGGGGATAGCTTTATCCACATGGAAAGGAAGCCTCTGCTGGAGAGCAACCAGCCTGATTGCTCAGGGTATCTTTAGCAGAACAGGCAAGTGATTCACGGATTCGGTCTGGCAGAACAGAAGTGTTTTAACAACAAGGGGATGCTAAGTCAGATGGCCCCGCTGCTCCGGCTGTGAATCGCCCCCGACAAGCTCCTGAGCACAGTCAGTGGACTGGGTTTGATCCCAACTGAGTCATCCCACCGAGAACTGGGCAACTCCAGCTGAAGAGGAGGTGCAGGCTCCTGCCCCAGAGACAACCCCAGAGCCCCCATGTGCACCAACAACTACACACTGATTTATTCCTCTCGCCACACGGCTCTCCTTCCAGACGAAGTCAGCAGTGCTGCTCAGGCACTTCACCCCAAGTGCAAAGGCACATCAGCACCCTGCCTCACTGCCTTCTTCCAAAGTGCATTCCTCATTTTCCCGCAGCGGATGAACAGAGCTCAGCACAGCTCCTCTTCCCCCAACACTGCACCTAAACACACACCTGGACTAAAATACCCCCCTCAGCTGTCCCTCACAGAAACTCAGTCCTTGGAGACGCCTCAGAATCACAGACAAGTCGCTGTGTCTGGAAGCACTGACCTCCTACAGGCACACTAAAAGAGTAACTGTTTGCCAAGCACCGCTCTTTGCTCCCAGCTTCAGGAACCATGGACAAGATCAGCGTGGGTAAAACTGCAGCTCCACAGACTCCTGGAGGGATCAGACAGTTTGCACCAGACACGCTGCTAGATTTGGGTGTCTGCATGTTCTCAGATGTCAGAGAGCTTAAGACATCCCAAAAACAGTCTTTATTTTTAAACTCTTCCTTATGACACCCACGTCGCCTTTACTGAAGACCACATTATAGGGCATATATTCCCTCCCTCTTCCCACACCATCCAGGAGGAGGAAGCAATTCTGAACCTCCAGAGCTGTGTGCTAACCCCTACAAAAACTGCAGAGCTACATGAACAAATAAATGCTTGTTTCTTGAGAAAGATGCTGATCACTTGACTTCTCCTTCCAGAGAGCCCTACAAGGCATCCCACAGTCGATATTTCTTGGGTCAACAACAATCTTTGAGCTGCTGTTATCACAGCTGCTGGTTTTAACTCCAGCAGAGGAAGGGAGGGGGTAAGCTAAGCAGAGACAAGGCACAGCATCTGCCTACCTACCATCACTATAAAGAGATTTACCTTCAGGAACCCATGCTCTAGTGCTCTTAATTTTAAGGGGGTAAAAAAATGCCTTGCACAAGACAAAAAAGGGTTTGCAACCTCAGAACTCTGTCAAGGATATTTTCCATCTGTTGTTCTTCATACACAGCTCCCGGTGGCAAAAGTTTTGTAGGTGAAGCAATGCTGCAGGGGATGCTCTGTGGCAAACAGTGGGTCTGCCTGGATGGAACTCACTGAAGCCACATAAAACAATTCAGTTGATGAGGCACGTGCAAGGAGAGAGTCAGCTCATTCCTCCTAAGCCACAGCAGCTTGGCAGAGCGAGCAGGGATAAAGGGGAAGTTATTCTCCTGGTCAGAGTCAGGAACAGTGCACGGTCTGTGTGCACATGGGGATGGGGAGATAAAGGTGGGCCCTGTGCTGGGACATGCATCCCTCCTCCAGAGGCAGCACCGAGCAGAGCAGTGTCCATGCAAGTCACAAGCTGTGTGGTAGCTGATCGGAGATAATGCAAAAATTGCTCTTCTCTTGGGTAGGAAAAAAGCACCGCTCCCAAAAGGCTGAGGAGGGCAGATCCCCAAGGACATGTGCAGTTAGTGCCCCGGTCTCGGGTCTGCTCTCCTCGCTCAGGACTTAACCATGGTGAGGACTGTTCCCCCAGCCCCAGCAAGCTCCTGCCTGAGCCTCTTTTGCCTTAAGGCTGCTGGTAAACCCTTCCCTCGGCCCCTCCTGGCCCAGGGCTGCCGGCGGCTGGGGGTCAGCTTCACACGGCCTCCCAAGAGTTAAAGAAAACAAAAACGAGCCTCAAATTCGAGAGGGGGAAAACGCTGGTATGCAAAATATTGAGCTCAACCACAAATATGAAGCAAGTGTTTAGTTATTTGAGGCCACACGACTCAGGAGGCACCTTTAAGAAATTCTAAAAGCTCTTATTGTTGTCAGCAGCTCAGGGCAGCAACATTTTTGACCAGTTACTAGGCACACGTTCTTGCATTTCTGAAGTCATCTTAGATGCTACATCCAAAGCCAGGGACCTCTGGGATAGTTTTGTCTGCTCAGACAAAAACACAGCTCAGGGACGAGCAGAGAGCACAGAAGCAAAGAGCAGTCAGCAAGAGATAGATCTATCATACCCTCTCCATGCCAGCAGGGCACCAAGTATTCCCAGTGTCTGTGCCAGAGCCAAGCTCTCTGTTCCTTGAAACAGCATCCACACCCCCCCTCCCCTTCCTTACAGAGGCTTAAGGCATGGTCAAACCCGTAACTGCTGGACAAGGGAACTTACAAACTGGTACAGGGAGAACACGAAGAGCAGGAACAACTCCC